GTTTACCGTGGAAACTGCAGCAGACTTTATATACACACAGAGAATATGAAACAATACCTCCTCCCACCCCACTGTCCTGCTGGTAATAGCTTATCTAAAGTGATCAACAGGTGGGCCATTTCCAGCACAAATCCAGGTTTTCTCACCCTCCACCCCCCCACACAAATTCACTCTCCTGCTGGTGCTAGCCCATCCAAAGTGACAACTCTTTACATAGTCAAGTCGGGCTATTTCCTGCATAGATCCAGGTTTTCTCACATCCCCCCCACCCCCATACACACACAAACTCACTCTCCTGCTGGTAATAGCTCATCTAAATTGACCACTCTCCAAGTGAGCTGTAGCTCACGAAAGCTCATGCTCAAATAAATTGGTTAGTCTCTAAGGTGCCACAAGTACTCCTTATCTTTGAGATATAACTCTTCCCTTATCTCAGTCACTGTTTAACAGTGCTGGCCCCCTTTGCCCCCCGCATATTCTAGGACTTCTCTGTTGCTTTGTGGTTTATCTCTCTGTCAATATCTCAAAGTACTGAGGTACATTAATGAGATCATGTGGAAGAAAAATGAAGGCACACGCAAAGAACTGGTAATGCTGAATATTCTTTTGATATTAAAGGAGCCGGGGAATGGAAGCACTGCCCAGGTAATTCGTACAGTTTAACTTGCTTTAATAAAACAGATGCTTTAGTCAATTTTTTTTATTCCTATACCAAAACCAAGATAAAAAGGAAAGGGGAGAGAAAAAATGAGAGTAATCTAACAGTTCAGACTGTTGAAATTCTGTGTGATTAAATAAAAATGGTCACATTTAATTTAAACTAAACCAAAATGATCAAATCCTCAATACCTCTGTTAATTTACTGTAAACCCATTTTTATATTTAGTTCCACAGATGTCATTTATACCTCTTTATATCAGAGCCTTAATAAAAAAAGAAGTGAAGTGGGCACGGATACGCAGTGACATTTTTAAAATTTGACTTTTTAAGCATCCTATTATACAAACTCCTGAAGTTCCCAGTGCAGCTGCCTGGAAGCAGCACTGTATCCTGTATTACGTGCAATGACTTTTGGAGATGTTTTGAGGCATTGCTAAATAAAGCTTTGAACATTTTGGCACAATCATTTCACAAGTGAGTCAGTCGAGCCAGAATCACCCACATATGAGCAATAGAATTGAATATATTAAATAATGAATTTGTTTTCTTTTGCTATCTGAATGTTCACATATTATTATATTCATACCTGTTTTTTGTTGTTGTTGTTTTGGTTTTAGTTTAGCAGTTTAAGCCACAGTTATCAAGGCTTACAAGATCTGTGTCTTTTCTCCTGCTAGTCAGGAAAGGGATTTAACTACAGAAAGAACAGTGTAAGGAAAAAAAAAAAGACTGGTGAAATATGTCTGGGAGGGAGAAGGGGCTTCTGTTTTGGAGGGCTGTGAGTGTGGCACAGAGCCAGGTAAGCTAGCTCAGGGGATTCCTCAGCTGTCCACTTAGGGCAAGTTTAAGATCCCTTTGTGCTGCTCTGGCAGGGCAAAGAGACATAAAACCTGGTAAAAAGGAAGCTCTCCATACACAATGCACTTGTTCTTTCTTCTGTTCTCTAGATTTCTTTCTTCTGCACATTTTGGTCTCATTTTGTTATGCTTTCCTCAATGTGGCAGTTAAGGCTTAAGACCTACCAGAAAAAATTTATAAAGGTGTCCCCTCTTTCCCAGCATCAAAGTGCACTCAGATTTTCCACGTTGGAAGTGTAATACACAAGCAAAGGGATGTCACTTAATATTTATGGGATTCAGCATAAGTGCAAACAAAGACAACACCTGGCTCACAAAACTTTAGAATTAACTATCAGTTTTATTTCATTTGTGGAATAAGTAGAATATATCATAGGCACAGTGAGATATGGAATTACTATAATATAAAATGATTTGATGTTTCTTAAGCATATGATCTACATGTCCTATGTTAAAACCATAGGCATAGTTTTACTTCTATATTTGGGGAGACAGCTCCTGTCAGGCCAACTGGCTCACACGGGGGTGGGGGGGAAGGAATTCTGCGCCTGCCCGAGGCTTGCAGTTTGCAAGGGGGGGGGAGGGGGAAGACAATGTCTCCCTGGCCCCTCCAAACTACACCCATGTTATACCTCTTCAAAAGGCATCTCTTAGGAATGATATAACCGAAGGGGTGACATTTTAAAACACCTCCTGAAAGGTATTACTTACTGTAAGTAATAATAAAATTGAGGGATCATACATGCATCTTGAAGCATAAACAGAGTTATAATGTTAGTAAAATATCAGAAATACACCAGACAAAACACAAAGGAGATTGTCTAGCTTTTAAGACACCATTAGAAACCAGTTCAAGCACACTATCTACCGCCATAAAATTTGGAGCAAACTTCTACTAATTTAGATTAAGGAATGGATGAACAAGTTGACATAAAATAAGAACCAAGAGAACCTTCACCCCACACTCAAAGAGGAGCCAAAACTAACAATGTTGTAGGTTTGAAACTATTTGAGTAACTTCTGTTTTATGAGCCCCTTCACGTCCTAATTCCTACTGGGATAATAACAGGTTTCAGAGTAACAGCCGTGTTAGTCTGTATTTGCAAAAAGAAAAGGAGTACTTGTGGCACCTTAGAGACTAACCAATTTATTTGAGCATAAGCTTTCGTGAGCTACAGCTCACTTCATCGGATGCTGTAGCTCACGAAAGCTTATGCTCAAATAAATTGGTTAGTCTCTAAGGTGCCACAAGTACTCCTTTTCTTTTTACTGGGATAATAAACAGTAACGTCTCAGAAAGGTTTGTTCCTGTGGTATTTTCCTTCATGGCCTGAAACAAGCAATACTGGAAATCCCTTAACAGGATCAGAAAATTTGGATCAGATTCAGTCAAGCATTTGGACTTTTGACTGCTTGTCTGAACTCATCCTAATGGTCATTCCAATGTCAGATTAAACATATTCTAATATACAGGAGGACTGAAGCTTACAAGTGAAACACTTCTTTACCAGCCTCCATTCCATAATTCAGAACACCCAAACGATAAAAATTAGCACTTAAGAAGCCAGGGAGTGAGATCCTATGCAAAGAAGCATCACTGCATGATGCAGAAAGATACAGTTTTGACATCAGCAGTTTAGTGTATCTCAGTTGTTATAGCAACTTACAGCAACCAAAAAAAAAAAAGGCTCCAGCCTGAAAAACCTAGAAATGTCTTTCATCCACATCTCGGCCCTCAACAATGTGGAAATTCAGCCATACCCCCCAAATACTTTCCTGTATAAATGCATAGTTGCAATGAAACTCCGCAGGGTAGAATCATCCTTTTATAGGAAACTTCCCCCTTTTCTAATAGCCAGCCTTTTAATTTAAGAAAGACAAGACACTATAGCCCTAAAGTGGCCATTTAGTGCCCAGCTGCTCTTTACAACATCTCCATTCCTTCCTTACAGTTGGTAGATATTTCTATAACCTTTTCCCCTTTCTCTTATCATTAAGAAGGTCACACATTTTCACACTGTGGACATTGTATGAAGATTAATAAAATAAAAAACTGTATTTTGAGATTGTAGGTCAGTTTAATTTCATGCAGCAGTCACAGTACTAAAATATTCATGCACTATTAGTGAAACAACTGTGGATATCATTTCCAGGATTGCCTAATCTTTTTACACTAGTTTTAGACATGTTCAGGAAAAACCCTACCATTCCAAATAATAATACCATGCTCTTCTTATACAGCACTTTTTCATCCATAGGTCTCCAGGAGCTTTACAAAGGCAGAGTCATTATCCCCATTTGACAAAAGGGGAAACTGAGGCAAAGGGAGGGGAAAGTGACTTGCCAAAGGTCATCCAGCAGGCCAATGGCAGAGCCAAGAATAAAATCCAGGTCTCCTGAGTCGCAGTCCAGTGCTTCAGCTGCTAGATCATAAACTTAAAACCAGTTTTAATGTGTTTGTCATGAAAATGCTTCTAGAGAGAAAGGTTTCAGAACATAAGTAGTGCTAGCTTTCCCAAGGGATTTACATCTCATCATAGAAATACATCTTGACAGTATTTAAATGTATTTCTCTCTCGCTTTAATTCTTTGGTGCCTTCAGTATATGATGGAATATCTTCCTCCCACTTTTTACTTTAAGCCTAACTCAGAGGTTACACGACCCCCCCCCTTTTTTTTTTTTAAGACTACATGAAAACTGCTCCTTAATCAGAGAGTGCAGATATTAGTTTATGAAGCAAGGCACACAATCCTCCAACGCCAAGCACCGTTTGCAACACTCCCAGTATGTGCAGAGCCTGTGAATAAGAGAGTAAGCCTAGGAACTGAATCTAGATTCTGTCCCAAGGCAGGGCAGAACACTACCAGAAACACCATCTTAAAATACAGATCTAGAGAAAAGAAAATTCATTTGATATACTGTAGCTCAGGTAAGAAAAGACATTCCTTAAATTAAAAGCTTCTTAAAACTTAAGACTAACAAGCATGAGAAAGAAAGATCTCCATTGTATTACAAGCAGGATTAAGTCTATAGAAATTCCAAATCCAAGATACTTATCTTGTATTCTACATTAGCACCAGAAAGCAAAATAATTAATTACTAGTCATTCATAAAAAATACTAAGACTATGAATACTACTAATAATAACCCCAGTCTAAAAAGTAATGCAAATTTTAAAATATCATATTTGCATTTTCCGTAAGAGATAAATTTGCTAATCTTAAAAAATGAAGTGCAAACGTAAATAAATAATTAAGTCACCCTATAAAATTTTACACACATTGCTGGAGTGGTAAGAATGTTTTATTAAACCTTTTTAAATCTTCTTAACTATTGTCATGTGGATTTATTACTTTATATAAACACATATTTAGGCAAAATGTTTAAATTCCCTCCTCAGCATTTTCTATCCCCTTTAAAATTCCCTGTAATTTCCTATTTATAATGGGTTTTTCAGGCCATAACAAAGAAGAATACTGTACCTCTGGTGCTGATGGCTGTTGCCGATGTGGCTGTGCTGGTTGTTAAGGCTACAGTGGTTGTGACTGTTGCAGTGGTAAGTGAGGGGATGACAGTGGTGGGAAGCAAAGTGTTGGAAACATCTGGTGAGTGGAAAAAAAAATATAAAATAAAATCATATCATGCAAACAAAGGAGAAGCATAATAATGGTTCAATTTGTAAATACAAGTATGAAGTAAAATGTATAAATTAAGACATGCTTAACGCAGATTATTACAGGTACAGTAGCGTACCTTGAAATTCTTGACATATCACTCTCTAGTTTTATATTCAAACATCAAGGGAAAAGAATTTAAAACACTGTTAAAACTCAAGTTTCCACAGCTCTGGAGAGTGAATATTTAAGTGACAAGAATCCATTTCTTCACTGAGCCATTTTAAAGGTCTCATACGGTAGAAACCAAATATAGATGAAACATGCTGTGTCAGAGTGGGAGATGAATAAAACAACACCATCATGCTAAATAAACAAACACATGTTAACGAGAAATGGCAGTATGTTAAAACACCTACTTTCAGACAGACTCAATGGAAGGAAAAAGGGGAAATTGCTACTAACTATAAAAGCTGCTTTTTTTCGGTTTGCTTGTCTTCTTCCCACAAATTTGTTTAAGACACAGTTGTCTGCTGAGATCCAGAGCAAATTTCAAACTCCTTACCCTTACTCATAGGCAAAATAGTTTTACAGTCATCCTAAACATGGGATACTTAACATATAGCAGTATTTTAATAACTCCTAAGAAATTTCATTTGAAACCCAACATCCAGAAAGATTAATGGTAATTTGATTATTACAGGTGTGTGTAGAAGTGGGAAAAGGTGCAAGTCTTCAACAGTGGTATCCTACAAAATCCTCTCCATCTCTTGGTCATACTCTGAGTTGAGTAAATGCAAATCTGCTAAGCTAAAGGCATTGCTTTTGGTCAGATCATAATCAAAATCCCTTATAGTAAAAACATGATTAAAATACATAGGAAACAATCACACATACAGAAACACAATACTTAGACCTGCACTGCCAAGAGCAATAAAGATGAATGTTCCTTTTGCCTAGGAAGAAACTGTAAATAAGAAAAGATGAAAGGAAATAGAGGAAAACACTTTTAAATAAGGAAGATAAAAGCATCTGACACAGATTTCCCAGACTTCAGTTTTAAAGGCAAAGGGCCAGATTCTGAACTCCTTTTGGTGAATACCATTCTTACTCCATACATACATAGCCCCACTGGCTTCAGTGTGGCTAACTTCAGATGCAAGGTGCTTAACCCCATGCCTCAGGGGATCACAATCTGGCCCATAATTTCAGTCTTGTCTTGCTACAGAAAGATGTCATTTACTAAATGTCCGATCATGTATCTCATTGAGCACCATCAGCTCCCAGTGAATTCAGTGGTAGTCAAGGATGCTTAGCTCTTCACAGGATTGGGCCCTGAGGAAGACAGTTCAGGAATGGGGTCCTTGAGTTCAGCATTGTCGAATTACTTTCCTTGGCTTTTGATTTCACATTTTTGCATTATTTTCAGGCTGGATGACAGATTATTTTGCCATTTAGAAAGTTTCCCTGTCATTCCCTCAGTTATTTTGCTGTTGATAAATAAAATCATTATTCGTTCTAGACTCTATACCTGCAGAATTTTCCACTTTGGAAAACATCAGATAGCTGCTTGAGATCACTCTTTCACCTTTAGTATGCTGATGTTTACACCTGTTCTTCAGTAGGAAATATTCCCAGGCAAGCAAAATTAAGAAACCAAGCTTTTTAAATAATGACTGTAGACACATTAATCACTAGGACAAACTGTAATATTGCCTGGAGTGCGACTGCCATTATAATTAAATCAAACGGACTTTAAAGAGCATTATAAATTAATTAACATGTTAAAAATGTTATATTCACTGATGTATACAATTATTTCCCATAATGTGAAACTCCTTCTTAGATGGATATCTGATCAAATTTGTACCACACAGAAGGAAAAAAAGGTGTACCTGATATTCAGTGCAAAGCCTGATACATTTTTTTTAAAAAGGCAGCTATATATCAGTTTTATACCCAGAATATAGTGAACAAACCTTACTTTTGTTTTAGGTGACTTCCCTAAACGTGCCATTGAACAATTCAAAACTTTCTACTTCTGTCATTTGCATTTATGCTTAATAACAACCTTTTTCATTGTTCTGCAGAGTTTGTTGCATACTGCTTTGGATGGGTTGCCAGTGGACTTCGGAATCATTTGCTGATTCTTTTTATGGTTTGGAAGTTTTCTTCATAAAGTTTCAGATTTAAAATTACATCCCTCACCTCTTATACCTTTACCGGGTGAGGGAGACTTGTTATTGGGCACTAGCAGAGGATAGTAATATTGGCTGGACAAGAATAATCTTTTCTGATCTCAGAGAAGAATGAAACTAACTAAGCAGGAGTCAGCTGGTTGGAGAGAAGATCCATCTGCACTCCCAGTTAAGTCTAAATCTGCTCAGGGTCCTGGAAACATCTCGCTCATACTGGTTCTGTGCAGTTGAGTCACTCTTTTAGTAACATCACATTTCATTTGGTGCACTCACTCATATTAGTAACTACATACCTATCCTTACAGCAACTACAAACCACACATTTTTGAACTCTATGGACTGCATTTCATCCTTAAATCACATTTTGGCCAACCTAATTGTAGATAGTTTGGCACCTAAGTCACTGAGGTACTCTTGAAAAGTCCCATATTCATGAGATTTAGCCACTTGGGACCATAATTCCCATTGATTTTTTCTGAGATGGAATCACAGAAATGTAGGGCTGGAAGTGACCTCAAGAAGTTATCATCATGTTCAACCTGTGCACTGAGGGAAGACCTAGAGCCGTTAACGGTGTTTTTACGACCCATTCTTAAAAACCTCCAGGGATGGGGATTCCACAACCTCCCTTGGAAGCCTGTCCCAGAATTTAACTAACCGTATACTTTATATTAACGTAACCACCCCCCCCCCCTTGCTGCAGATTAAGCCCATTACTTATTGTCCTAATCTCGGTGGACATGGAGAACAATTGAACACAGTCCTCTTTATAACAGCCCTTAACATATTTGAAAACTGTTATCAGGTCCCATCTCCCTCAGTCTCCTTTTCTCAAAACTAAACATGCTCAGTTTTTTTAATCTTTCCTCTTAAGTCAGGTAGGCTCCTAAATCATTTTGGTACTTTTGAACAATTTACTGGTCGTCTCCTTGAAAGTGATTTTGCACAACAGCAAGCAAAACATTTCTGATAGCCTTACAAGGAGAAAACCATTTGCAGCACACCTTATGCTTTCATGGTTTGCTGACATGGAGTGAGATATTGGTGATATATAGTGGGCCTTGAAATAGAAGGATGTTTCCTGCAAATCAGCCAGATGGCAACATGCTCTAATATTCAACAAAGTACAGTAGAAGCTGCTGTTTAGGGCACAGAAATCACTATTGGTGTATTTTTAAAGCTGTGTTCTTGTTCAACTGGTGATCCATCAAATTTGTATTAATCTCACACCTCTAAACACTCAGGACCATTATGATCAAAACAGCTTAAAGATTTCTGGAACTTTTCTAATCAAGTGCCTATGTCCCATTGATATCATCTCATTGCCTCACACATATTAAAGTATTCATCCTAATCTTCCTTGTAAAGCAGGAAATATTATTCCCATTTTGTAGATGTGGAACTGAGGTAGACAGTAAATGATTTGTCTAGAGTTCTACAAAGTCAGTGGCAAAAATAGGACCCAGTTGAACCCAGAACTTTTAAGACCTAATCAAAAGCATTAGCTACAAGACCATTCCTTCTGCTCTGTACTACTGGACATTAAATATAAACTTCACACAAAAAAAATCCAGTAATTGTCTTTGTTCCCAACCCTCTGTTTTCCTCCCCACACACACGTTGAAAAATATTCCATCTGTTCATTTGTTGAATTTATGACACATATATTTGGTTCTCTTATATTTGCTTGACTAATGTGGATGGATATAGCCACGTACTGTACTTTTTTTTTCTTTTATAAAAATGAATACATTCAGTTTTAATGGTATCGCAACTTTAACTGCCTTTTTCACAGATATAGTGCAACGAAGGAGAGTAAAAATACCCCAGCTTTCAATTCAAAAGTGCTGTTTTTCTCCCCACGAGAGGCCTAAAATATGCATAAACCATAAAATGGGGCCATATTCAGGTAAAATGCTGTATTTTTTTCTGAGAATTCTTTTCAGTTCCTAAAAGCTGTTATAGACACTAAATAAATCACTAAAATAAAAATACAGATACCCTAATAAAATATTTTAGTTACATATATCTAAGAACAGAGGTCTTTAAACTTTACTGAAAAGGCAAGTAATCAAATAAGATTATTCATAGTCAGCATTAATTTCAACTCTAACCACTAAGGCAGATGATTATTTGTTGACAGGTAATTAGGTTAATATTAATTGAAACAATGTACTGACCATAATATCTCCTTTATTACCTATCATGATACCCATGTACCACTGGAATTCAGCCTATTTAAAGATACCACAGAGCACTGTGATAATACAATTTTATGGAAAACAAATGTGTTAGGTGTCAGATACTGTGGCTAATTCTAGTTGTGCCCATACTTTATAATGCCCAAAAACAAATATAGTGGGCCAAATTTTAAAGTGAAGGAAACTTTTTTTGTATCTCTCTGGTGGCACAAAGGGCCATAACCTAAGTGCAAATGCTTAGCAGAGAATTCCCCTGTCAGAGGGGAACTCCTTATTGGTGTATTTGTGCCATAACTAGGAGGAGAGAAGGGTGGGGCAACTGCACTCCATCAAGTCAGTCCTCCATTGTTTTACAGATTGTTCACTATGATACCAGTCAGCTCTGTGTTTTTGGGGAACCAGGGCGCAGTATCTAGCCTGTCTGACTCATGAAAGATCCCCCCCACCAGTCTCTTCCTGAACCAAAACCAATCAGAGAAAAGGCTTGCAGAGAGCAATGACGGGCAGATGGGAGACACACCTAGACCTCTCCTGACAAGGGTGACAAGGTTAAGACATCTCCATTAGCATACAGAATGGAAACAGAGAA